AGCTCCGGATCCAACGCATCATCCTCCGACACTTCCGCCATCTGCAATCCGACCCCACCACCAAAGACATCTTTCCCTCCCCAACCTTATCTGCTTTCCGGAGGGACCACTCTCTCCGTGACTCCCTTGTCCGCTCCACACACCCCTCCAGCCCCACCACACCCGGCACTTTTCCCTGCAACCGCAGGAAATGCTACACTTGCCCCCACACCTCCTCCCTCACCCCCATCCCAGGCCCCAAGAAGACTTTCCACATCAAGCAGATGTTCACCTGCACATCTGCCAATGTGGTATACTGCATCCGCTGTACCCGTTGTGGCCTCCTCTACATCAGGGAAACCAAGCGGAGGCTTGGGGACCGCTTTGCAGAACACCTACGCTCAGTTCGCAATAAACAACTGCACCTCCCAGTCACGAACCATTTCAACTCCCCCTCCTATTCCTCAGACGACATGTCCATCCTGGGTCTCCTGCAGTGCCACAACGATGCCACCCGAAGGTTGCAGGAACAGCAACTCATATTCCGCTTGGGAACCCTGCAGCTCAATGGTATCAATGTGGATTTCACAAGCTTCAAAATCTCCCCTCCCCCTACCGCATCCCAAAACCGGTCCAGCTCGTCCCCGCCTCCCTAACCTGTTCTTCCTCCCACCTATCCCCTCCTCCCACCTCAAGCCACACCCCCATCTCCTACCGACTAACCTCATCCCGCCCCCTTGACCTGTCCGTCCTCCCTGGACTGACCTATCCCCTCCCTAACTCCCCACCTACACTCACCTTTACTGGCTCCATCCCCGCCTCTTCGACCTGTCTGTTTCCTCTCCACCTATTCTCTCCCTATTTATTTCAGAACCCCCTTCCCCTCCCCCATTTCTGATGAAGGGTCTAGGCCCGAAACGTCAGCCTTTCTGCTCCTGTGATGCTGTTTGGCCTGCTGTGTTCATCCAGCTCTGCACCTTGTTGTCTCGGATTCTCCACCATCTGCAGTTCCTACTATCTCTGATGCAATAATCTCAATGCTGTGGCTCACATTTAAGATTGGGACAAGGAGGAATTTCTTTTTCCAGCGTGCAGTGAACCCTGGAATTCTTTACTGCTAAAGGATATCAAGGTTGGGTAATTAACTATGGCTTTTTAATCACTGGGAGAATGGAGGGTTTCAGGATAAAGGCAGTGAAGTGAAGAATTATCAAATCAGCCATCATCTCATCGAATGGCAATGCAGACTAATGGGTTGAATGGCCTATGTCTGTTCCTATGTCTTTTGGCAGAACATTAAGGGTACAATTGCAGTGAAAAGGAAAAAGGAAAAAAAAATGCTGCATCAAATGCACATATGGAAAGATGCTATATACTGGAAAGGAACTGAATTGCTGATGGAGAGCTATGGCATGAGCTTCTGACCCAGTCTTGAGAAAGTTCAAAAATGTGTAAGGAGAGAGTTCCCAATCTGTGGTCTGTGATCCTTGTCGGATAATGAGGCAACAGTGACTTTCTTTACTGATTTAAAACTGGCAATCTTGGGGCCCAGATGAATTGCTAACATCTGCAAGGTCCTCTCTTCTATATTTTTCTAATGTTGGGAGTGACCAAATGGATTCCTGTGAAAGGTCCAATTACTATTGCTTATGAAAAGAGGAATTTACTTGTCTGAGAAATCCTGCCTTTTAGATTGTATGTATTCATGCTACTAAAAGTTTTATGGACACAATATTTTTGTAGGGGAGGAAAAACCTTTTAGGTTAAAGCAGTGTTTACTGTTGAGACTAAAACCCACTTTGGTGACTATCATAAAATCTGGCTCTGCACGGAATTGGCAGTGACGTAATGCAAATGCCTGTACAAGCAGAAATGGATTTTCATTTATGCTGCTAAGTATTGAGTTATAAAGTGAATTATAGAAAAAAATAATGATTCTGTTGAATTTACAATGTAGATTTAATATATCAAATTTTAGTTGAGGTTACTGAAGTATTTGGCTGCTTCAAGCATTGTGTAACAATAATTGCACAGGGTGTCTGAAACTTCAACTCTGCCAGCATTCACTCTGGCGCTATACAAAGTCTGAGGCATATGACTGCACCAGAAAAAAAAGAGAAGTGCTGCATTAGGTGAAAGAAAGCAACGAGAATGAGGCAGGTGAATGTTGACACAGATTAGGTGAGCTAAATTATCTGTTTCCGCACTGAGTTCTGTGTTTTCCTACATAAAGTCTTGTATCCGTGCTCAGTGGTGCCCAGAGTCTAATTTATCATTCCTGCTGCAAGTATGGAGAAGCACAGTAGGGGGCAGTAGATAGATACCCAAAAAGCAGCAGCTTGTTATCAATAGACAACTTTGAATAAGTTACTTAGCCAATTAGCAGTTTATTGCATGCTTAAGACAGTACTTTGAGGTGTGGTTATGTAATCAACAAGACTTTGACCAAGAGAGCATTCCAAAAGTAGTTTGTCTCTGTCTAATATTCTTGTCTGAATTTGTTTTAAGCTATGAATCCTTTACTACTTGTCTCACCAAGATTGTATATCATGTAGTAAGACATCCTTACTCCTTTGCTCAATCCTATTGTACTGAATGCTATTTGTCTTTTTAATTGTTTGCTGTATCCAAGTGTTATCATTGTGATCCTCTTCACCTCTGGGGCTTCCAGGTTGATAAAAGTGATGCGTAACCCTCGCAGCCTGGTCAAGGAGTGAGCTGTGGACTTTGAGGGTTGGGGGTGGTTAGAATTCTACACTTATGGCTTGGAACTGCAATTGTTCACGGTTTGGTTTGATTTGATTTATTACAGTCACATGTACCTAAGTACATGTGAAAAGCTTTGCTTTGCAAGCAGTACGGGCAGATCATAGCAAACAAGGACATATAAATCATAGGGAGCTTAGAGCGAGCCGTATAAGATTTTGGATGCACTGGAGGTGCACAAAGCAAGGACAACATTAGCAAGATCAACATTAATTGAAGTTAGAGAGTACATTCATCAAGCTAATAACAGCAGGGAAGAAGCTGTTCTTGAACCCGTTGGTGGATGTGTTCAAACTTCTGTACTTTCTGCTTGACGGAAGAGGTTGGAAAAAAGTAATTCCAGGGTGGGAGGGCTGTTTGATGTTGGCAGCCTTTCCATGGCAATGGAGATGTAAATGGAGTCCATGGCTGGGAAGTTGGCTTCCATGATGGTCTGGGCTCTGTATGCAACTTTCTGCAGTTTCTTGCGGTCCTGGCAGAGCAGTTGCTGAACCCGGCTGTTAAGCACCCGGATAGAATGCTTTCAATGGTGCTCTGTTGCTGAGGGTCCTTGTGCTGTGATCAGAGAATTGGACTACACCGCTGTCTAAGTTCCATCCCACACACTCTTTAATGTGGCTTCCCTCGTTTTTTTTTTGTTTAAAATAGCACTGCATTGTTGAAGTTGTCGTTCATATGAGATGGTCAGTGGAAATGCTGCCCTTTCAGGTGGATGTCAAAGGATTTATCCCTCAATCAACATCACTAATGCAACAAATTACCTGGTCACTTATTTCATAAGCTGCTAGTGGAATCTTGCTATGTACAAGTGTTATATATTCTTTCACAATGTAGTTGGCACAATCTAGCCAGCCATTAATGTCCTTGAGAAGATGGACTGTAGCAGTTCGACAAGGTAACTCACCACCATGCAGTATAGTTTAACCAACAATGCTGTAAGGAAGGAGGGAAGATTGCTGTACTTCCTACTTTACTATAATGTTTGCACTTGCACTGCTTATTTGGTTCCATAGCACTTTGGGATTTCCTAAGGTGATAGAAGATGCTGTAGAAATTAAAATTCTTTCTTTCACTTTATTTTTACCATATTCCCGGTCCCCACCCATCCCCACAATAGTTGTTCCTCTGAATCCAGCAATTGAACCTCTGTCTTGGATGTTGGGAAGCTGGATATCTGAGATGCCAGGAGAAGGCTCCTATCCAACCATTAAACCTTTCAAGTACATGGAGGAAGTCCAGATCACGCATGTTGGTCAACCCATGCTGAATATCTCGTAAGTTGGATTGTCATTATCTTGCAGTTAGAGTCTGATTTTTTTTTTTTTTGCAAAATAGCAGTACTTTTTCAACTGTGTCCAGTAACATGAGAGATGGTTTGCCCAGATTGATGAAGGAAAATTGCAGACGGAGTTAGAATTTTCTTTATTGCTAAAATTGGATAGCTGAAGTAAATAGGCAGTGTTGTTGATGCCGTGCAGGTATGTGTGGAAGATGTGGGCAAGTGGCCATAGGTCAGCAATTGGCAGAATTATTTCTCCGAGTGTGTGGCAATTTGACCTGTTCTCTGCCTGGTGTTATTTGATCCACAGGCACAGTGATTTCAGGATGGCTGAGTGGGGAATATTTGACATGAAGGAGCCTGTCTCACTCTGTATTCAGCTGCATGGTTCCATTTGATTCTCCCCACGTATCTGGTGTGCCCAATCAGTCTAAAACTGAAGTAAAACTGCCTCTTATTATTTTGAAGTAGCAAGGTTCAGTAACCCTCAAGGGACTACTTGTGTAGGGAGTGGTTAAAATGTGGAACTGTGTACCTAAAGGAATGTTTCAGCCCATTCAACATAGATGCGTTTGGGGAAACTAGATAAGGATATGAGGGAGAGATAGTAGGAACTGCAGATGCTGGAGAATCTGAGATAACAAGGTGTAGAGCTGGATGAACACAGCAGGCCGAGCAGGAAGGCTGACGTTTCAGGCCTAGACCCTTCTTGCCCAAAGCATCAGCCTTCCTGCTCCTCTGATGCTGCTTGTCCTGCTGTGTTCATCCAGCTCTACACCTTGTTATCTTAGATTCTCCAGCATCTGCAGTTCCTACTATCTCTGAAACAATTTTAACCCCACTGCGAAGCCTCTTCTAAGGATGCCTACCCTGAAGAAGTTACCCTCCTCCCTCCTGAAAAACCTCAGTGGATCTCTCTCCCACTGCAACACTCTCGTAACCTCTTCGGCCTTGAAACTGCTCGACCACGTCCTGAAGCAAACCAGGTACTACAGCCACATCACCTTTCTTAGTAACTGCCTACGGAACCAGATCATCCCCAATGGACTACAGTCCACATTCAGGCCTTCCCAATTTGGCCCCAGCCGTGACCATGTCTACATTCAGAACATTGAGATCATTAAGAAGCGTTTCACCCTGCGACCCCTGAAACAAACACTCGCAGCAATGCGCCGGCATCTCCAGGCACTACAATCAAGCCTACCCCAGCTCAGAGCCTCCCTCTCCCAGACCTGCAAAGGACTTCTCTTGTTTTTTATTCTTCGTAGGAACCACAACCTGAACTCACAATTCTACTCAGCTTTATTGGACACTAAAAACCATAAGTACAGTAAACTTACTGGTGCCTACCACCCAAAACGGGCCTGCTCCACCTCCCAAATCCCCAACCCTACCCAGGACCTTCCCCACAATGTGCCTGCTGCCATTGGCCATGCGGCCACTGTTGGAGCACCCACAGATGACATCACATCCTCCGCCGCCGGGTACACCACTTCCGGGACAGTGAGCGCCATCGACACCGCTGCTGATACCACCGCCTCCATTTCCGAGGCCAACACCTTAAACACTGAGGACGCACCTACCGTCACCGCTGCTGCCACCGCCTACGCCACTCCGCCCACCACTGACGCAACTCCGCCGATGCAACTCTGCCCACAGCCGACGCCGCAAGGCCCACCACCGACGTCGACGTTGCTCCACCCATTGCCTCCACAGCCAGCAGCTCCAGAGGAGACAGCAACACCCAGCCCTGCCGAGTCTTCACCATCCCCCCCAGACCTCCCCCTTACTGAGGACGAACGGTCAGTCCTCGGTAAAGGGTTCACCTTTGTCCCCCTCCACCCACACATCAACGTTTGGGCGTTGAGCAGTTTTTCCGCCGCCTCCGCCTCCACGCTTACTTTTTCAACCGTGAGCCTAACCCTCCCTCTACTGACCCCTTCTCCCGCCTCCAACACACCCCCTCCTCCT